AAATATGTGATGTCTTGATAAACCGAGCAGATATTTGATGTTTACACAGCTACTTTCTCGCCTGAAAATATGTTAAAAGTTTATTTTGTGACCCAGAAAGATTAATAAGACTAATTTTATAACTCAGTAGCGACCGCCAGTGTTGGCAGCTGAAATTTGGCTGGGCCGCGCTATGAATTCTGGGATATGGTGGGCCACGAAGGACACACCCGACCCATCCTTCAAATTCGGGGAAATGAAGGACGCATTTGTTGGCCGCATTTGAAGGAGTTGACAAATTGGGACAGCCTTCGTTGCCTGGCTGTGACGTAATCGGCCTTCAAATGCGGCCTCCGGAGGATGCAGCCGACGTTTTGGGACACAGCTATAGACTGTTGTAAGTAAGCTCTATATAAATGGTTATCCAGTCTAGAGCACTAGGAATAATGGGTAAAACACAAACACTGACCTCAACATTGGAGAATCCCAACTCCCACTCTAAAAAATGCACAACACAGAAGAACCACCTTGACAGGACAAGACTTGGCTGTACATCTGGATCTATAGGTCAAAGGTCACTCTGTCGAGGATACCAATGTTCACATTTTGGAAGGAGAAGACAATAGATAATCTGAAAGAGGAATGAAAGCGGCCATTTATATTCACTGTCAACAACTATCTTTGAACAGAAGGGGTTGCTTACGACAATCCAGTTTTGAGATCCCTTTCCAGGCAACTCAACCCTCACTTACATCTTGCGTCAGGTGAGGTTAGATGCCACAATGGTTTCACCCCAAACCTCTAGTGATAATGACCCATGCCTTTTTCACACTTTGACTCGTGTGATGAGTCACATGATACATAGTCCTCTTATGCGACCTCGATAGGGTTTAACTATCTGGGACTATCCACCATTTGATTTTAGAACTGAAGACGTTACTCAGATGAAATGTCTTCAAGAAACTTAAAGAAGTCCAGTAACTTTTCCTTCCAGTCTCCTTAGATTATCATGATTTGGATGACTGAGAACCTACACAGAGATAGATTGGCAACTGTACCGTACCCTAAAACATTTTTTAAAGAAAATAACAGATATTTAATTCCTAAATGTTACTGTTTGTTTCTAGTCACAGATGTGATGGACAAACAATCCACTGGAGGCTATGGAGGATACAGTTCGTCAGGTACAGTACTAAACAAATTTATTAGACCATCACCCAATGCAAGGTTTATGTAACGGCTGCTCTAAATGAACAGAATTGTAACTACCAAAACATTTTTTTAATGCCAAGGTAACATAATTAACTCACATTCCTGAACAGAAAAATAAGTTTAGTTTTTGAAATTTATGACTTCTCTAAGAAGTTCAGTTAATTCAGTCTTTTTTTTAAACTAGCTTTTAACAGATTTCTCAAACTCTAGTCTCTATAAGTTCAAAGTTCAAGAAACTGAACTACCTTCTAATTCAGTTGTTCTAATGATTAAAAAAAATAAAATAAAATAAAAGAATAATAAAAGACAAAAACTGTGTGAATAATCTAACAATATACAGTGCTGTGAAGCAACTGTTGTTGTAATTTAGCACTATATACATAAAATTGCATTGCAATGAATTGAATTAACACATTTTTACTAAAAAAACATGTTTGAATCAACCCACATAGCAAAATTGGTATGGCCCAGATCTGGCCCACAAAATGTGCTTACACATGGCCCACATACCACAAAGGATGACGGCCCTTTGGTGGCCCAGATCTGGTTTGCCAGATGTGGCCCAGACATAGGCCAGCACAAGGCCAGTTGCAGACACACTGGTGGTCCTGTGCTGGCCCATGTGTGGACAACCTCTGGCAAACCTGGTCTGTGCCACCAAAGGGCTGTCGTTCTTTGCGGGATGTGGGCCATGTGTAAGTTGTGTGCAGCCATGGGCCAGTTGTAGACACACTGCTGGTCCTGTGCTGGCACAGAACAGTTTCAGGTCTGGCCCCAGATGTCGGCCTAATGTGTACCTTAATCAAGCCATGTAATAACGTCCTGGAACATGCAAAACAGTGCAAAAGTAACATGACAAAACTCTGTTCAGAAAGTGAATGGACTGACTCTTATATAGCACTTTTCTAGTTTCCCGGATTACTCAAAATGCTCCATACAACAGGCCACATTCACCCAATCACACACTTTCTCTAAACTGAGTACTTCCTCACAAACCTGTCAAACCTGCACTTGAAACATTGGCTACAACATGGCATTTGGCTGCAACATGGCATTTGGGTCTTCTAACTAAAATAGGAAAATAGGAACATAAATAGTGCCATCATTGCCAGAGGTCGCCCACATCTGGTTGACAAACACCCTACCATGACACCGGTCAGTCAGAAGTGCCAGCTTGATGCCGGATCCAGGGAAGACCTGTTTTCTATGAGCCTGGGCCACAGAACCCAAACCACAATTGATGGCATGCCATCACATAGACAGTGCCATCTCTGCCAGGCCTGGCCCATGTCTGGATGACATACGTCCTATCATGCCAGAGGTCGGCCAGCAGTGCCGGCTTGATACCAGATCCGGGCCAGACCTCCTTGCTATGTGGGAACAAGAAAAAGGGACCTTGTTTTATTTTGGGTCATTCGGTCATTAGTTAAGTATTATATATAAATTGAAATAAACATGTTTCTTAATTTCATGTTATCAATTTGTGTTTTTGTTGTTTCAGGAATCTCAAACACACGTACTCGTGGCATACAAGGTATGATGTGACACATACTGCAGCTGCTTTAATATTATGTAATTGCTGCTTAAGGTTGTTAATGCGTAGTTTACTGGGTTTCCTAACATCTATTCTTCTGGTGAAGGATTCACAGCCATAGAGCTTTTCATTAACATTTTAACTGGAAATTACTGACTTTTTTGCTTAAACTTTCATTTTTAAGATATTATATTACAGAGTGTAAAACGTAAAAATTCAAACATAAAAGTATTGAATTTTCTGGATCGTTCCGCACGTCCCTACCCCTCAGTCAGTGAGTGAGATGGTAGACAGCGTCGAGGAGCAGAGTGCGAAAACACATAAATATGATTGACACACATAAATAAAGCAGCAACTGGCTGCACTTTAAAGAAGAAGCAGATGACTAACTAACTAAGAGGAGACACTGCAATGTCAACCTGCACTGATGAAATACTGTTCGGCTACTGAGTTTGGTTCTGTTTCTGTTATGTGAAATTTTTTTTTTGCAGTGTTTTGTTTTTGTGTTAAATTAAAAGGAAAATTTTCATGAAAATATTAAACAAACGTAAGAATACCTGCTTTACCTTTGCAACAGAACAACAAAATTAGGCAATTATAAGGCTTCTCATAAAAACAATGAATGCAAAAGGGTTTATAAACACACAAAGCATCCATCTTTGCCAAGTAAGGCTAAAATTTGAGGCTATAGATAATAATAAATTAAGACCCGTTTGGGAGCCGTGTCACAAGAGCCAGCTCTCTGAAAAGCTGAACTTCCCATCACTACAAACCTGACACTGATTTTTGAGATTCAATATAATACGTGTCTTTATTTATTTAAAGCATGGGTTAGTTTCAGGGTGTGTTTATTAAATCAATATGCAACATAAGGATTTAAAATATTGGTGTATGTAATTCGTGTTGTTTAAATGTATTCAACGTCAATACATAAATTTGAATTGCACTGAATTGAATGAAAAACGTGTATGAATTGACAAGAAAAAGGGACCTTGTTTATTACTTTATTTTGGCAAGTAATAAATGAACATGTTTCTTAATTTCATGTTATCAATTTGTTTTTGTTTTTGTTATTTCAGGAAAAGTAAAAAATCTTGGCCGTCAAGGTATGATGTGACAAATATTGCAGCTTTTCTATTATGATGTAACTACTGCTTAAGTTTGTACTACATAAATTAACTATCTTAACTATATAAATACAAAAAATACAATATAATTAAACTTGTACTAACTATTAAACTAGTTACAGGCAGAAAACATGAGTAACATAGACTGTTGTCAGTAAGCTCTATATAAATGGCAGTCCAGTATAGAGCACTAGAAATAATGGGGAAAACACAAGGAAGGATTTGGGAACAAATTGGCAGAATAAACACTAAAGACAGCAGTACAGCGCAACAATAAACAAACATTATCCCAGCCACTGAGAGCAATCATTGTAGAATGGAAACACAAGGCTAACACAGCTAAACTTAATCAGGGATAAGACAAGGGAAGTAAAGCTGAATACAAAGCATAATAGACAAAAGACTAAAAGACCAAAAGACTAATAGACAAAAGACTACAAAAATAAAATGGGAACACAAAAAGGCCTAACACAGAAACAGACTCTTAATGAGAAACACTCATACATAAAAAAAACCCATATCAATTCATATAATATTCTATTTTTATTGTGTTTTTACAAGAAACCATCTTGAATCTACAAGACTTTTTCTTGTAGATTCAAGATGGTTTCCTGTCCTCATTTTTAACTTTATTTTAGTCAGGATTGCTTTGGGTTTATTTCTATATGAATATAAATGAATATGTTTCTTAATTTTAATTAATCAATTTGTTCATTATTTTTGTTGTTTTATGAGTCATAAGCATTCATGATTTGCAACATTGAGGTATGTTGTGGCACATAATGCAGGTGCTCTATTAAGGTATAATTACTACTAAAGTTTGTACTGACTTATTCATTATAAATACACAATAAATAAATGCATACTAACTAATAAACTAGATA